TGTGTTTAACCAATTGGGTCGATAACAGTTTTAAAGTTTTAGAGCCGATGAGCTCGGCCAGGGTCGTTTCGCCATCATTTAGGTTTCGTAGCATTTCTCTTCAAAGAGGTCATAAGAACAATTGAAAAATGGCGGTTAAAGATAAGAGGTCTAGTGAGTGAGAAGTTTGTCGCATAGTTCAGCACTCCACTTAGTTCAGATTTTGCAGGGTAGGGTTTGGGTCGGCGGCTGTGGTACATCGCGGAGAAGTGCCGGCCCATCCATGGCGGCCCTTGCTGGGCGTATCCGTTAAAATCTCGGGGTATTTTGACATACTGCTGAAAACACAGTCCTACTATAGTTCCGCATGTGCTCTGCGAACTGCGCTTACTGCAGACCGCGCGACGCGACCTTCTCCTCGTGTAGTTTCATCTTTGCCAAGTTTTGTTGACCCTATTCCTGATCAACTGCTCAGATGAGGTTCGCAGAATCCACTTCAATCGGCGCTGCAATTCCAGTGGAAGGGGAATCGTCTTTATTGGGTGGGAAGGAGATAAAAGAAGGAGCAGACGGCTCTCCGGAACCGCCATTTTTTGCGGCGAATCTTTATGACTTTTCCGAGCTTTTTGACCCACTCCGTGTGGCTTGAAACCACAAATCAGCGGTGCCGAACTAACAAGTGAGTAGCGACCTTCTCAACAATTCTGAGACCACTTGGACATTTGGTTCTATCTGATCTTTCAGTTAGATTTACCAACACATCGTTTGATCTCCAACGACCACCCTGATCACCTTTAACCCATTCGTGACAATGTCAGCCACCGGTGGCTGACAAAGCTCTCACTCGGGACAATGGTATTACTGTGGCTGCAGGGCTTCAAATGGAATTTGGAAAGTTTTCTTCCATGAAAAGAATCTTCATACCCTCGCTCATCTACGCCAGCCCTGGGCAGAGGAAATCTCCCTCCACTCGAATTTTATTGAAGAAAAATCTCCTGACTCTGCTGCTATTGCGCAATCCTGCGCGGTCGCGAATGGGTTAATGATTTTGCCATTACAACCCAACTTTCCAAATCATCATCGCACAGCACATGTTTCGTAAATGCGATTGCCAAACGAATAATTTATATCATAAGCTGATTCCGCTCCTTTCTGTTCAATTTCTCAGTCTGCCAAAAGCCTAATGAGAAGTAAACTTGAATTGCACAAAACGGCGCAAGCTTCACTTACAACCTAATAGAAGTGTGGAAAATCATGACGGCTTTGAAAATTTCTATATCATTTGAGGTCGCTTCTCATGAGCACATCGAGTACTGGAAGAATGCTCTTCTTCATGTTAAAAGGCACTGCCATTTCTCTATGCACTATATGAGGATGTACAGCAGAGGCGGATCCGAGCACCTCCCTCTCCTGGACACCAAACTACGGTTAGGAAGAATTTCTCATTTTTAAAGCTTTATTCATGAATGATAAACAATTTTGTATCTTGGCTTCAACAGTAACTTTCGTATGTTACTCATAATCCGCACCTGATTTATCGCGATATGTCGAGTGATTTTCAGAAGACAAACGTCAAAACCGTTTGTTAAGTGACTTTTGGCCGCTTCTGTTCCGCGTTGAGTGATCCTCTGAATGCTTTTGTAACAAAATTCCCATGACAATCTGAAGAATGCGATAATGATGTTTCTTCAAAAGTATACTCCCCGATGAATTTAGGTGAATCAATTCCTTTAATTGTCAATGGGTGTCGAGGTAGAGCGATCCACAAAGGCCGCAAATGGCCTCTTTTCGCGTCGGAAATACAACAAAACTGGCTTTTCCTTTGCTTTGGGTTTGCCACGTATTTTCGCTGTTTTCTGTGGTGCAGGTAGTCCACGCAGCAAGGTGTCAATCTTCATCCTTCATGCATCCCGCCTTTCCTCTCTTCTTGGGGCTCAGTGCCTCTTCGTTTAATCACAGTCTCTATAAGAAAAAGATGGCTCTCGATTCAACACTAGATGTCCCCCATCTTAAGGCGCCTCCATCCAGTCTAAAGCGAGGGGCATCCAAGTTGGCTGCCCTGCCACCCCCCAACCCCCCTAGCAGCTGCCCTACACTTTTTGCCCGACCCCCAAAACTTTTTTTGATCCATCTCACCGCCCTCTGGGGTTTCGTTAAATGACGCTCAAACTGCCTAAACGAATTTAGTGGGAAACAGTTGTGGCGCCACCTGGCCCCAAATGGCGCCAGCGTCCAAAATGAGTATCATATCCGTAATGAGGACAGAAGCGTTTCGTAAAAGATGTTATACCCTTATGCAGAAGTCTATACAACAATATGAACCCACAAAATGCAAGCACAAGCGGCCCTATTAAACCCTCGTTCACCGATAATTCGTAAAACACCATTTTAGTGGTATCGCCCGGAATCTCTTGTAAGTCACAAAACGTTTTCAATAATGAAGCACAGAATTCAGTATGAATTCACCGCATTTATCAATACAATGGGTGTGAGCGCGGGCAAGTAAGGAATCAGAAACTTCCAAATTCACGCATGCAAAAAAGCTGCTCCAATCGCGCGTTCTTATATACCGTAGTTGTTTTCGCTACGGGTGCGCCAGCCTGCCGCGCGATGTCGCGTTGCGAAGAGCGAAAAAGTCGCGTTCTGTCCTAAGTACCCACACCCCATAGGCTCCCATTGTTCAGTTCACTG